TAGGTCCACAGGTTTTTACAGGGGGGAAGTGGCTTAAACTGTTGTGCAGATAATCAGCATGTTGTTGATTCTACTTTGCAATGCAGTTACAGTGGATCTGAGCTGTTTGGTAGCAAGTGCCTGCAGTTATGCCTGCGCCCACAGTAATCCATATGACAGGAGCTGGCAAGAATTCAGACAGTTTTCTCTTTCTCATCATAGGGAACCTGCCCACTGTAAAGAACTAGGCTGTTGTTGGGAGGGTTTGTTTGGTTTTTTTTTTTAATGACTCTTTGTGGGTTGGAGAGATGTATTAGCAACAAGTGCAGAGATTTGTGCTGCTGCAGGATGTTTCTCTTCCCTGCCCCATGAGTCACCTTCAGTATCCCATTCCTGGTGTGTATCTGGATGTTTCCAAAGCTCACTCTCTCCTTTTTTCTCTACATCAGCAACCCTAAAATGCAACCATACTGTTATATCTCCTGAAAGCCACAACTCATTGCAAAATGGCCAGTATGCAATCCCCACGCTGTCCATTGTGTAAAACATTCTAGCCTAATCCAGAAAATACCTAACTTAAGCACAGTGGCAGATGAAGAACGACAAACAATGCATGTTATCAAGAACCAAATACATACTCAAAGTATGTGTAAACAATCCTTTGGATTGTTGACAGAAACATTTGCATTTTGAGAGTAAATTATGGGCACTGTCATAAAATATCTAAATACTGGTATCTGTATTTATAATGTCTGCTCTGTTCACAAAATGGTTGCCAAATTGGATGTTATCGGTTACAAAGAATCAGTTACTAGAAGTCTGCTCTCTGCCACCCTCTCTCACCCCTAAAATGCTTCCTCCAATCCTACTTTATTTCTGTCATATCATTTACAGTATGTGTTCTAAATAAGTTCAGTTCTGTATATTAATATACCTTTTTTCCTCCCTCATCAGCCCCTGTACAAAGACACCTTCAACTTGCTGAAATTTTGACTGTCTGGAAACCAGTTATTTGTTTTGCAGATTGGACTTAAAGTGATTTGTTTGGTCCTGGCATAGAAGAAAGTGCAGATCTGGCCATATTGATCTGTAAACCATGGCTTTTCACTACATATGAACCAGCATCTCTGACTGGCTCAGCTAACCATGACACATCACTATAGGCCTACCCAGCTGCTGAATTTGCAAGGCCCTGGATCTAATCGAGAATCCTTAAACTATAGCAAAGACCATATGCCAATTCCAATGGTGAAGTATGGCTCTTTTTAGATGCAAATATGTTTATGGGCTATGAGAAAAATACTTACTTAGGAAGGATTACTATAACCAGGTCCGATTAATTGTGCTTTAACTAAATTAATGTTATACTTTCTATGTTTTAATTAAATAAGCAATCCGATTCTTCCAGATATTTTGAACTGGCAGGAAGAAACAGCAAAGTCAGAACTGTCTGTGCCATATAAATGTGCCATCTAAGCCAATGGCTCTGGATCAGTGGTGGGATTCAAATATGTGACCAACCGGTTGTCTGTGGATGCCGCTTCCGTAAGTCCATTCTGGGTCTAGGCAACAAAAAATTAGCTACTGATTCTGCTGAACTGGTGTGAGCTGGCTGAATCCCACCATTGCTCTAGATGTGTTGAGGGATTATGCCCAATTGAAAATGTCAGTAGGACCCATTAATAGTGCAAGTAATACCTTATGTGGAATTTGTAAGCAGAACACTATAGGTAACTGGATACACTTTGCTAATTAAACAGCCTGGATACACTTTGCTAATTAAACAGAGCAAATCAGTAACCTCGTTTTCTAAACAGGAGTTTAGAATGAAGAATGAAGCTGAGCACCCAGCAAAGAGAAAGCCTAGACATTATTCCTTGTATGAACAAAAGTTTATAAGGTGCATAACAGATTTGATCTGTTGTGAGCCAGTTTGGCCTGGTGGTTAAGGCATCAGGCTAGAAAGCGGGAGATGTGAGTTCAAGTTCTGCCTTACCCATGAAGGCCAACTGAGGGACTTTGGCCCAGTCATTCTCTCTCTCAGTCCAACTCACTTCATTGGGTTGTTGTTGTGAGGAAAAATAGGAGGAGGAAGGTGTGTTGGATGTGTTTTCACTGCCTTGAGTTATTTGTAAAAATAATAAAAGGCGGATATAAATAAAATATATATAAAAAAATCAATCTCTCTCCACAAGTCTTTTTTTTTTCTTCCTGCGCTCAGCTAGAGATTGCCTTTCTTCAGAGCTAGCTCCATGTAAAACAAATAAAGGGATAATAAATAAGCTAACTATCTCCGAAGGTAATTTTGCTAGTTCAGACAAGATTGTGAAGCAATCTCAATCTCTTGATTCTAAATTTTCTGATTCTGCTCCAATTTCCTTTCTCACCCTAACACATAAAGAATATGATGATCCTTCAGTTTCTGACATGGAAAAAAAAATCATTCACAGATTTTTCCAGGGCGTTTTCTGGAAAGTAATACGAGAAAATATTTGATTGCTTGTCAAAATATATCATCAGCCCAACCTTGTACATAGCTTCCAAAAGGCATGTTTCATTGCGTTACCTCCAGTTAAGTGCCCATAAGGTTCCTTGTTCATTGCCTCCACTAATCCTGTCCTTGGCATGTTGGCTGTGGATGGGAAAAGGAAGGCAGATTGCAGAACCACTAATAGCCTAAGAAAATGTTCTCCAGTTAAAGTAGACATCAGACACTGTTAGTCCAGTCTCAACTCTTTGAGAGTTCAATCAAGTAGCAGCCTAATAAAAACATGACAAAGGCTCCACCTGCTGTGTTTCTGAAGATCACCAGCTTACTAATAAGAGTATTAGATCAGGTTTAAAAAAATGTATGTGTGTGTCTGGCTAGTAAATAATACAAGCACATTCATTCAGGTAGCCTTGAAACAGAGGGATTACCTGCACCTCAGGAAGGATAAAAATCGTTGTTGGGTTAGTTAATTAATTAATGTTCTGTATACCAGAGGTCCCCAACCTTTTGGGCACCAGGGACCGGTTCCACGGAGAGAGATTTTTCCGCAGATCAGAGGGTGTGTGATTCTGTATGCTGCCTGCATCCCACGGATGGGTCTGTGTGGACTGGTTGCTGGTATGCCGGGGCCCGGTACCAGTCCACGGACCAGAGGTTGGGGACCCCTGCTCTATACTGCAAAGTTCACTTTGTCTTATTCCAGTCCTTTTCATAAATGAAACAGGAGAGTAGACATGGAAAAAAAGGAGACGTCCATCATAGATGTATGGATTCATGGAAAAAATAATCACCAACCTTTCCAACTTGGTGGTCTGGCGGGGGGGAGGAGAGGGGATGGTTTTGTGTGAGTGGCAAGCGCGCATGAGCGTGTGCAGCTCCATTTGCGCAAGCGGTGAGCGCACGCACCTGCCACACAAATGGAGCTTCATGCACAAGAACCTGTGTCTGCCACTCACACAAGTGGGGCTGCATGTGCACGTTTGCCTCCCCCTTGTCCAGCCAGTTCTGAATGGGCTGTGGCCCGTGTGTTGGGGACCCCTGGTATAAGTGGAATTGTGCAGGGGTGCACAAAGCATACCAGACTGAACAGTCTGAGTGCAGCAGTAATATTCTAAATACAGAACAAAATGTTTTGTTTCATTGATAGCCCTACAATTAAGACCTATAACATCAGTTTAGTGTTCTATATGAATCAGTCGTTTCATTTTGGCAAAACATGTTTAACCTTCCCTCCCCCATGGTATATAACACACTATCTGAAGCCAGGCTCAGAATAACTATTCTCAGCTTGTCTTTTAAAGTGAAAGAAAGAAAGCAGAACAATTAACAGAGGTGACAAGCAATCTTCTGACAAGGAGGAATGATGATGACCCTGCTGTATGATCCAATCGCATTCCATTGAGAGATTTAGCAGAATTACTGCCAGCAGAGGCTGAGAAGCAAAAGGTTTGAATTTGTTAAGGGGAGATACTCTATTTGGCATTCAATGGCATTAATACACATGTGAATTATACGTGATTGTTGATCATCGTAAAAGCATATGCTCTACTTTGTGGAGAACATGGTATAATAGAATGTAGCGAGGTGACTCCCCAGGAGGGAGGGGGCGCATTCCAGCAGTAAGAGGCAATCTAGCCCAGATATTTTTGTGTGAGAGAACAAGGGTGAAGACAGCCTCTCCCTAATAGTTCACAGAATATTTTGTAGATGCAATTAGTAAAATCCTCGGCCTGGGAAGACTTTGTCTAAGGTGTGAAAAAATAAAGAACTCAGTCTGGAAGAAAAATAGCACACCATTCTCAGTTTTGGCTCTGTCACATGGCCAGTAAAATAAACTGAATATGAAATTTGGTTAAAACACTAAATTGGAAAGATGGTTCTACTGGACATCTTTTATTATATGCACACAATAACTGGGCTGCAAAAATCCAGAGCATCACTAGACGGTAGGAAGCTTAAGATATCTCTGTCTCTGCTGCCACCTATTGGTTCTCTGGAAATTTGCAGCCTGGATAAATTATTCCTACTACTGTTGTGCAAATTAGATACTTATTCAAAAGCTACACCAGGTACCCTTGAAATAAAAGAATGGGTGTAGCATTAAGCTAAGAACAATCACATAAAATATGCTGCAATAGTTTCAAACTATGTTTAATAGGTTTAACAATAATCTATAAAAGGCACCATAATTCAATGTTTTAAAGTAATATTCTTCTTTGTCACTATTGGTATTTGTTTGGCATTACAATTATATTATGCTAGTTTTAAAAAATGAGTGGGAAACCTGATAGTAGTGAACTAATTTTCAGCATTCCACTTAATTGGCTATGCTGGCTGCTGGGTTTCTGGTATTTGTTCAACATCCAAAATGCCACTGTCCCCCATATTTATTCTCAAACCAGGGGATTCAAACTTTTTTAAAAATGAAAACAACGCTGTCGAATGTTGTTTTGTGAAACTTCTTTGTTATTATTCCTATAAAACTGGGCAGAGAGTGATAGATTTTTTTTTAAAAAAAAATCAACACATAAACAATGCAGATTGAGTTTTATTTTCAACGAAAATGACACCAGTGGCAATGGATTTATATCACTGACAGCTGCTAAAATATTGCTGCTCCTTAAACATCTGAGCCAAGAATGGCAGTTTACAGTTTTTAATCAGAGTAAAACCAATTTGATAAAGTTCAGTGATTCCATTAATAGTTCAGAACATTAATTACTAATGTTTTAAAGATGATGGTGGCGGCCAGTCACTGAACTTGATTTCAACTTTTAAAAACAATTGAGTAATGAATGTGAATTGTTGGTCTCTTGTGTCAACTCAGTTTGTAAGTATCCTTACAGTGCTTCATCCATAGGGAAGCAATTTGAACTCAAATTAGGAACTGTTACAGAAATATTCTCTTGATCACAGAAAGGTCATTCTATTCATAAACTTGCCAGAGAGAGAGAGGGAGAGAGGGAGAGGGAGAACCACATTTCCTGATTAGAGGAGAAATCTGTTAGTCTGCTACCTAGGCAACAGGACTCTACTGAGTTTCCCTACCATGCAGCCAAACAGAATCCAAGAGGTAACATGTGGAGAATTGTGTCACAAATCCAGACAGAGATGAGAGTGATAAAAAACATGTTATTTATAAGTGTGGTTTTCCTCTGACCCTCCCCTTCCCAAATATAGAGTCAATGCTGCAGATGGACAGGATAAAAAGGAATATATTTGCTAGCAAGCACCTCATTAACTCTTCCTCTTTGTACAAGCTGATCTTTCGTGCAGACAACTCACTGAAACTGAATGAACAGTTTTCATCACAAACAGGCTACTGTTTGGCCTTCTAAATGTTGCTGAACTCCAATTCCCATCTGCCTTCATCAGCACGGAAAGAGAAATGTTAAGAGGTGCGGTCCAATGTCCACAGGGCCATCCATTGCCACATCCCTGGCTGAAATAAATGAGACTATGTCTGCTCCTCCCACATTATTTGCCTACGTATCTACCCAAATAATTGATGACAGAAGAAAGGAATTAGTTTACATGTTGGTGTCATTACACAAGTACAAAATATACAATTGTATGTTGCATCAATTTCTCTGGATTTCTTTAAAAAAACACATTTGTGAAATCGTTTTCATTTCTCCACAGGAATATGTTCTTAGTGGGAGCTTCTGACTCTGCAGGAGCCCACAAGAGCAAGTCAATCAGGTAACAATTTAGCCTGTCGCGGTGTTCTGTTGATATGCATCAAAATGGGCTCAGCTCCAAAATATGACTCACTAAAACAAGAAAAACTTGAAAAACGACCACCAGAATTTATTTGCCCTTTTTCATTTTTGCTATCTTCTCTTTTCGCTTCTTGACATGCTTCGGAATCTTGTGTTTTCTCTTCTCCCTTTGAGCCTCTTTAACTATTTTCTTCCTTTCCTGGAAAAGTAGACCCAAGTAAGAAACTAAATTGACCCAACTTTTTTTGCTTTTAAAGAACAAAAGAACAGCAAGGACATTTAGATAGTGATGAACATGGCACTTAGAGCAGCCTCCCCTTCATGCAAAATTATTTATCTCCAAGTGAAGAAAGCTGTCCCACTCACCTTTTTATCAGCACCTGTTTCAGCAGATTGGTCTTTAAAATGCCCCGAGTCTTCCTGTTCCTTACAACATGAGTCTGAATTGTCAGAGCTATCATCCTCATCCTCGCTGTTAGAATTTGCCTCATCATTATTATTTTCAAGGAGAGCAGGCACCTAACAACAAACCGAAAGATTCATTTTTTTTCTTCAGTCTTGCCCACCATCAGCTTCCAGCAATATTCAGCTATCGAAGAATGTTGTGAAGGTTGAACTTCACATATCCAAAGAATCTTTGGATTCCTGAAGGTTCTTTGGATATGTGCAGTTCAGTCTTCACGATGTTCTCTGATAGCTGAATATTACCGGAAGTTGATGCCCAAGATATACAAAGAATTCCAGAAGATTGCTCTAAGTTGGATTTTAAGAATGCAAGGACTATCTAAGGAGAATATATATTTATGTTTGAACCATCAACATATCTAACAAAATTCTTTTATAAACTCAAATTGCCCAATATTTTATCAATATTATTGATATAAAGACTAGAGATATTTTGGCAGCAAAACAGCTTTAAGTTCTTGAACAATTTCTAACTGTAGAAACATGGAGCAATAATCAAGAAAGTAGGAAACCAGGAAGAAGATCCAGCTGTCAATTAAAGTTTTTGTTACATCTGTAGGCAGGTGACCAGCAAGCTTATTCCAGCTCTGAAAATCATAGTTAAAGAATTAAAAATAGCTAGGCATATGTCTAGATCAGTGTTTCTCAACCTTGACAATTTTAAGGCATGTGGACTTTAACTCCCAGAATTCCACAGCCAGCAATGCTGGCTGTGGAATTCTGGGAGTTGAAGTCCACATGCCTTAAAATTGTCGAGGTTGAGAAACACTGGTCTAGATTTACAAACGCTGATTACATTTGCACATCATTTTAAGTCACACTAAGATTGGGATTAGCATGATCCTGAATCTAAACTCTAGTCAGGAGAGATTTAATTGTAATCTGATTACAGGTAGTCCTTGATTTATAACAGTTTGTTTAATTCATTACAATGGCATTGAAACAAATGACTTATGACCATTTTTCACACTTACAACTGAAGCAGCATTCCCGTGGCCATGTGATCAACATTCAGGTTCTTGGCAACTGACTCATATTTATGATGGTTGCACGCCCTGGGATCATGTGATCTCCTTCTGCGACCTTCTGACAAAGTCAATAGGGAAGCCAGATTCACGTAATAATCCTGTTACTAACTTAACCACTGCAGTGATTCATTTAACAACTGTGGCAAGAAAGGTTGTAAAACGGGTCAAAACCTACTTAACAAATGTTTCAATTTGCAACAGAAATTTTGGGCTCCATTGTGATCGTAAGCCGAGGACTACCTGTATCACTGAAGAACACGGTTCTGAAATGTCACCATCTTACCTTTTGAACACCGGATAAATCCTTCTTTAATCCTGTCACGGTCTGGTAGAGAATCTGTGCAAAACACAGAACAGCAGCAAAACAATCTGAATGTGGATTTCTCAAATCTTTATACAAAACCTATGCTGGTCTATGACCGTAATAAAGATCTGACTTATATACAGCATTATACTATGTAACATTCTAGTGAGACAGAAAGCACCAATTACTTCACCAAAAAATTATTTGTTGCTATTACCATTCAATGTGCTTCTGGGGTTACAGGCATTGCAATCTGAGCTTCTGTCCAAAAACAACCTCAAATTATTACTCTAATATTTTTACAGAGCAAACGATCCCTTAAAAATGAGAAATGAGAAGAGATTAATTTAAAACTCTTCCTCTCAAGTTTGCTGTTTTCATTGTCAGTATTAAAGTGACTCCAGTGGGGTCTTCAGAGGATCTTTACCCATGTTGGTGGAAGAAGATAATTGTTACAACACTCCTCCTCATCCCACAGCTTTGTATGCCTCATTAAAATCTGAAAATCTCTACAACACTGGGACTCTTTGGGGCAGCAAGAAAAACAAATAGAGAGAAAACTGGGAGAAAGGGGATATACACTTATATTCTGCCAAATCCAGTCTAAACATCTGGCTGACTTTATGGCCAATCATAATAACATAATAATTTATATGCTGCTTGATTCCCAACAACTTTGGACATAGGCCTTATGTTCAGGCCAGTCGGAATCCAACCCAAAATGCAATATGATACACTAATCAATTCCACATATATGAATAAGCATATTTCTTTAGATGTCCGGTCAATCCAGTATGGCTTACATTATCTTGCTGCACACTGAGGGCTGAATCTTCTTCCTTCAGCTTCATCATTATGTCCACATCTCTCTCATAGTTCTTAACGTCTGTCAGAGTCCTAGGGATATAGGCTTTCCTGAATACCTAGCAAGGCGAATTAAGCATAATCTGATAAACTATAAATCACTTGTTATATTGTCTCTAGTTATTACTGATCAGCTAAGAGAAGAGGTGATCATAGGTCTTTCACTTATATGCTTGTCAGGATGGACTAAAGTGTAAATCAGATTCATTTGTGAAAAAGCATTTTTCTGAAATCATTTTGTAAGTGTAGTTGGAACCATTCTGATATACATTCTGTATAAATTGTATTATACTCTTTCATTTAAGCATGTTAACTCTACTACAAATTAAAGACAGTTTCTCAGAGCTAAAAAAAGAGCACAAAAATTAAGGCATTCAGGAAGAGACTTAAGTAAAATAAACTTCCATGATGGAGTCTTTATTGCACTTTATTAATTGTCCTTATATGCCGCCCAATCCTGAGTCCTTCGGGATTGGGCGGCATATAAATAAATTAAATAAATAAATAATGGTGGAATAATTATTTGCAATTATTTGAAGACTATAAAAATACAGACTCTGCTAAAACATTTGATGAATTATTTGAAAATAAACATATTCCTGAGTATTATCAAAATACTGAGGCATAGTTTAGGTCAGGGGTGTCAAACTGCTGGCCCACGGGCCGGACGTGTCACGTGAAAGCCCACCCCATTGCTGGCAATGGCAAAACCAGCCCGATACGTTGCGCGACGCCACGTGATGTCGCAAGTTTGACATGCCTGGTTTAGGTTCTTTCAGAAGAGACATGATATATTTATTTACTCCACTGGCTTACCTCTTCATCTACATTATTCTGATTGGATCTTTCTTCTGCTGTTCTCTCACATGCAATTTCCATTACCTATAAAATATTAAGAAATAAATTTCTAGCATCAGAAAACTCATTCAAAAGAGCTAGTTAGGTTATTTGACAGTTTTCTTTACCAAAGCAATTCTTTTCTAAGCACAATTTTTACCAAATTCTTTTTAGGAAGATTTATTGAGACGATGGATTAGAAGAATCCCTGGCAACTAATTGTGTTTAATTTGGAAGCAATATGTCTCCATGCACACTGGAATGGAGATACTCTGCTTCTCTAACTGCCTTCTGCAAGGAAACCATTTTTTTTTTCAATGATAATGAAATTTGCAACTGGTCTGGGAACCAATTCTTACAGAATGATATGTATTCTTCCATCCAAGTGTTAATGCCTCTTTTAATAAAGCTCTGATGTTGTATAGCTCACTGCTGCTAGATCATCATTGGCTCCATAACTGACCTGGAGAAACAGGACCTTTGAAGGATATTTGAAGGAATTTGCTGCTTCATTTGTGGGATTGTGCTATATCAGAATGCTCAGGATACAAAAGCCAAAACTGGCAAATGGAAATCAATTGCTCAGTCTGAAGCAAAGGTACATGGATCTTATGTTTGCAGAAAGGACAGATTGGGGGAGGAGCTGGCTTGCAATTACTGGAGAGTCTAGTATTTCTTACATGACTGGGACTGTATTGTATTAATTTGAGCTGACCTGCCAACTGTGTCTTTTCTTTTCTTTTCTTTTCTTTTTTGTGAAAATTTTTTTATTTTCAATTTTACATTACATTACATTCAAAAAAAAAACTTCAGATAAAAAGTAAAATAAATTTATACACACAACTTTCGGTATTGCTCGCCCACTTCCCCCCAAACCGCATCCACCCTCTAACCTCTTCTCTCACTTCCCTCTTTCCCTCTTCTTCCTCACTCTCCCCCTCTCCTCCTTCTCCTCAACCTTCCTACTTACTTCTCCCCTTCCTCTTATCTTCTCACTCCGGATGTGGTCCAGGGGAAATGCTCGAGCAATTCCTCTCTCCAAATTAAAACATCAATATTATATACAATAAAACTATTTCTACTTATCTGAGCTACTTAAACTTCCCCCCTGAGGGGGGAAAATGGCAGATCGCCTTCTTTGGCGACCCCCGCAAAATGGTCAATCGACCCCAAATGGGGTCGCGACCCATAGGTTGAGAACCGCTGCTGTAGATCATCAGCCTCCAAAATCATCTTTATCTCCAAGAATGTCCCTGGATTCCAGGTAGCACCACAAGCTTTTGAAAAAGTCAGCAGCTATAGATAGAGTAGATAGGTTGGTATGACTTTGGTGGGACATAAAAGGAGTCCCCATCTGGGCATCCCCCAAGCAATGGTAGGGTCACCATTCAAACCTTTGAGCTCCAAAGCGCTTCATTGCTCCTGACATGACTGTAGTAGTAATAACAGCTACAAGTAGTAATAACAGCTACAGTCATGTTTCACGACTGTTCTGCACATAACAGCTTTGCTCGCAAGTGAAAAAGGACATTTTTAAAAGATCCACTTCCTTCAGATCTCACAAAGAAGATGGAAAAACAAGCTAGGTTTTTATAGTATGCTATAGAAAGTCTCAAAGGAGCCAGCTCCTCTTATCTGCAATAAACAAATACTTTTCTCTCACAAATACTGTTTTAGGGGCAACATCAATACAGATAAGTTTTATTTATTTGCATCCTGCCTTTATTATTTTTACAAATAACTCAAGGGAACATATAGTCCTTGTTTAGTAACTGTATTTGGTAATCATTCAGTTATGACAGTGATGAAAAAGTAACTTTATATCCAATCCTTGTAATTACGACTTGCAGGCCTGTAAAGCAAAGGAACACTGAGGTAAGATCATAAGCAGTTTCACTTAGTGACCCTTCACTTAATGACTAAGTTTTTGGTCCCAACTAGGGGCGCTATATGAGGACTATCTGTATGAACCTTCAATATGAATATTTTCATAGAAGATAAATCTTCAACCACTACCTTTTCAAGATAGGCATCCATATTCTCATTCGTAATAGATGGATCTGTGACAAACTCAAAGAGCTCTCTCACTGTCATCACCGCAACATTGTACTTATGAAAGAAATCTGCCAGAAAGGACAAAGATGATGTTAAAGTTACTATTACTTACAAAAACTTTGATGGCTCCAATTCAGCTTCCAAACTTTGTCCCACAAGGTTTAAAAGTTCATTTAATAGCTAAATCACATGAAGAATATTATCTCCTCACCATTGATATTGGCACAGTCTTTCCTCAAGAATTCTAAAGCATGAGGATGATCGTGCTCCACAGACTGGGACACATCTATAATATATACCTGACCACTGTGATACCTGGAAAAAGGGAAAACATCAGAACAGCAATACATTTATTTTCAAATACCTGGTATCTATTAAGGCATTTCCAAAAAGCATCAGAATATTTGGAGGGCATCTGGAAGAATAAATGCCATAGAATTTTAATTGCTCTAATGAAGTAATAAAATTGTCATTCTAATCAAATAATGCCAAACTGGCAAGTCAGCTCAAAAGCAGAGATGGACAGACAGGAGGCAAATATGTCTGACCAACTTGCATAGTTTTAACTCTTATTTCCCTATCACTCTGTTCTGCCACTGCACTCTGTATGTAAAAGAAATGCTAGAAGATAGATCATGAAAGAATAATATCCGGTGTATGATTTTTGAAACCTAAGGCTAGCTAGATATGGAATGACTTCCAAAATTTCCTGAAAGTCAAACTCTTTAAATTGAAATCTTTATAAAGTGAGATGGTGTGCAATTCTGGCTAACTTGATTGTAGGCTTAGGCTGGATAATTAACAAAAGCTTCTTCATTCATGCAACAGTTCAGTTATCAACTCTTCTTCACCTGTGCAATGCAAGAACTAATTTTGTGTAGTCCTGTCTGGGCAGAAGAAAATATGCCATCTCAGTCAGAATGCATCCAGGGAATCCACAACACAGCAGCAGATGGCTTAAATTACATTGGGAATCCAGCAAGGGTCCTAGAGAGTAGCCATAACTGGCTCCCAGAGAGATACCCACTGGAGATTATACTTTCTGCTAAACAAGACCTACCTTAGCTTGAGGAGAGGATTGTAACCCCAACACAGTCATTATGCAAGTAAGTCCCAAGTCTCAATGTTAAAGTTGAAAAACAAAAATAAAACATACAGCATATTAAATTCACTGAGATCTGCATGAACAAGCTTGGCATCCTGGTACATTCTTCTCATAAACTGTATGACTTGCAGGTATAATTCTCGGGCTTTTGACTCTGATAATTGGGCATTTTTCAACAAAGGAGCAGGCCTTGGAGCAAAAGAAGAAAAGAAACAAAAAATACAATGTTTATATATCTTTCCAGCAGTCCCTCTCTTTAAATATTGCAATCACTGTCTTTCAGTTGGGAGAACTGTATAAGGCCGAAACAAACTCCCACATAAGCAGAAATATGAATCTCAAGGGAAAAAATGAAACATTTAGGAGGAAAAGTGAAAAACTCGCTTATTTTTCCCAATTTTTATATCCTTACATCTAAGCTTGGTGCATCAGTTTACTTGCTTTGCAAATTGTACAAGGTATCTGCCTTCTGATCAAACTTCACAAATATCACAATCAGAGCCTTACAATACCTTAGTGACCTTATGCACAGTGAAGTCTCAATTTAACAGTTATACTTTTAGTGGACTTCAGAGGCAACAGATAACATGGACACCCAGTCAATTATCTTAGATCAAAGTAATCCAGACATGCACTTAAAAAACCTGCTTGTATGCCACAATTTATTTCATGTGTGTGAAGATATTACACAAAGTACAACAAAATGAAGAAAGCAATTTATTAAATGAACATCAAGGATGAATTTTCCCCCCTCCTCCAAAGGACCTGTTAAACTGATATTTCAACTAGTATTTTAATTCAAAAGTAAGCATCAGCACTATTTAATTGAGTGTTAGGTAGCCTAAAAGACAAATTAAAGATGCTCAGCTATTGAGGTCAATCAAGTTTCTAGGACACAAATGCACTTCAGCAACTGAGTATCCTTGATTTGTTTTCTTAGGCTTCAGGAATGGAATAATTAACCTGTTGTGGAAAGGGTTGTGATCTTCCTGCAGAGAACAATGCTTAATTTGGGGTTCTCAAATTAAATACAGCTTCGTCACTGGAGACTCAAGTATATTCTGTTGCCCAGATAACAATAATCAGCTTCAAGCTTTCCATGACATGGATAGCATTACAATAATCCTCCAGTTAAGTGCAAAATGTTTCAAACTCAAAGCATCCGGTTTCAAGTTTGAAAAAATTATTTCAGGTAAAAAACAGCTCTTTCCCATTAGAAATTTAATAATTTCAGAAGTGCTTCAGGCTGACTGAATCAGTCTATTCCGCTTTTGAAAATAACACTCTTAAATCTGAAGTAGGATGTTTTCAATTGGAGACAATTCAGAGTCAAAACATTTTGCACACTGCTACTGCTTTCACAGTGATACTTTCAAAATGGAATTACTTTAATATACTCTAATTGGATCCCCTCCCCCGATTTCAGAGCAGTTTGGAGACATTTCAGTCTGATTCCACACAATTTATTACACACGCTATGGAAGGTTCTGCACTGTCTACCAATTAACTGCACAGACTGTACCGTATTGATTAGCCATCTAACTAGTTTTGCAGAGTTCCCAACCGGGGGAACTCACATCCCATGGAGGTACGAGATGATATTCCAGGGAGTGCAAAAACTTGGGATTTCAAAATTATAATGTATGTACATAATTTGTTGCCTTTATTTCAAACTTTTGTAAGGGGTGCGAGAATATATCAGAAGTGTTCTAGGGGTGCGGGGTATAGAAAAGGTTGGGAGCCGCTGTACTAGAGGAACAATTTTTCTGAAGCTTTGATTCTACAAATCTGTGCCAGTGTTTCTGAACTGCAGTAATTTTAAAATGTGTGGACTTCAGCTCTTCAAATTTCTCTATTCAGCATGTTGGGAGTTGAAATCCACAAATTTTAAAGCTGTTGAGATTGAAAAACGTTGACCAATGCAATGGAAGACTCTAATAAATTAGTACTTGAATTCCTGCTTAGCCCTTTCCCATGCTATACTTCTTAAATAACTCCTATAGAACTTTGCAAGAATGTGTTTACCAAGTGTGTGAATCTGTAAATCATGAATGTTTAGCTTACTATTCTGTGTGACTCTGGCCACTATGGTTTGCATAGTAAATCCTAATTGAAATAAATCCTGGCTTAACACAAAATTTAAACCCAACCACACAGCACTTGAATATACTTACATATCATTTTTGCCAATAAAGCCCATCACAAGAACATGGCTTCTTAGCATAATGGGTTCTGGACATGGTATTTGTGCGGTATATAACCTATCGTGAAACCAAAAAGACAAAACTGCTGTTATCTCTCTCTCTCTCTCTCTCCCCCCCCCCTCCCTCCCTCTCTCTCTCTCCCTCTGTCATTGTTTGGCTGTTTCGTAAGCCACCACCTCAACTACTCAGGATGTTACGAAACAACCAAACAATCCACAAACAATAACTCCAACACAGCCAACCAGTCCACCTACAGCAACTAAGCCAGCACTCCAACACCCCCACCAATATATATAGAGAGACGGCAGCTCCGATCACACTTTGCTCGCACAAGCATGAAGCTGAAGACCCCAGCCTGAAGATGACGAGTGGGACCTCGTCGAAACATCGCCAAGATACTCTCAATCTTACACAGGAAAAGACCCGAATACACTAAGACCTGCATACCTATACCCGTGAAAATCTATGAAAACAAATATATATGTGTGTGTGTGCGTGCGTGCGTGTGTGTTTTCTGAGGTTTTCGTGGGTGTTTGTATGTAGGTCTTTGGTTATTTGGGTTTTCTCCTGCATAAAATTGGAAGTGTCTTGGCGACGTTTCGACGAAGTCCCATTTGTCATCTTCAGGCAGCTTTATGTACAGCTGAAAACTGTACATAAAGCTGTACATAAAGCAAGCAAATATATAAAGAAAGCCTCACAAGCGCTCCCAATCTTGCTGACACCTTTCGTTTTCATACTCATGTCTTGAGGCCCAATATTAAGTATTGTATGTAAACTGTTAACAATTATTTTCTCCCCAAAATCTTTGACAGAAGTGCCATTTTCCCTTTCAGTGTAAACTATTTTTAAAATCTCAGATGGGGATATGTGCTTCAATTTAAAAAAATCAGAAACAATCCTTTTGTTTCAAGGGCACCAACACATAAAGGTGTTAGACATGGTTGTATTCTAGCCCCAATGCTTTCTAACCTCTATGTCAATGAAATTCCAGGATTCCTGTATGCTTCAGACATTCCTATACAAAGATCTACGATATATTTATTGACATTCTTTTAGACATTAACAATACGGTTATAATAGTACATTCCCAAATAGGTCTGAGAAGACTGTTGTGAAAGAAGAATACACAACATTCTCTGCATTGTCAATTCTCTAAATATCAATAAAACCAAATCTGAAGTGGTATTTAGCAAAAAAAAAAAAGTGTGGCATATAACTGGCAGTTGGATGAAGAATCTATTGAATAAATAAATTATTTCATCTATTCAGGAATGGCCTTTACCAACACATGATCGTGGGTAAAATTATTTTAAAAGAAGCTGAGGTAAGGGTTGAGGCAAGTATCAAAAAATTGTGTAAATTGTTTAATTATAATTAACAGGTGCCTTGATTCCCCGCCCCATATTGAAAGTATTTAGAGCAAAAATAGTCCCAATGATGACTTATGGCAGAGAACTCTGGGGCCCTACAAAAGCTACTTCACTTGTTCACACCTATTTTTTAAGAAACATATAAGGGAATGGATAAGAATGTGTCAACCTCCACTGTCAGAACAGAAAAGTATCCACTCCATATAAAGCCAATGAACAAAATTTTGATCTAATGGCAGAGGATCCATTCAATAAATAGTCTGATAGGCTACGTTTAACTGAACAAATACATATGGCTCAGTCTACTTCCTGGGCAAACCAACTTACCTAGTTATTTTACAGCATGGGCTTTCCGTTCAATATTTATTCTCAACTGCCTCTCAGGCAAAAGGAAAATTTTAAACATAGGATCCTAAATGTCAGTGCCCTTCAGAGTTATTGGCAAAAAAAAAAAAGATCTTTAAACTGACTGGCTAAGAACTAAAGCAAAAAATGCCCATCACTAAGTTTTACTCAATTCCTAAGAAGGGCCTATTGTAGAGCTAGATTTGAGTTTTTGGATTCCACGGCCAAATATCCATCATTTGCCATATCGTGAGAAAACACATCTGTGTGGTTCCCCAGCCAGTGAATATATTGCTCATGTTTTGTTTGTCAACTGTATGCCCCTTTTAGCTTAGATTTTAAAAAAGGAGGGAATATTCTTCTTCCTTTCCTCTACTCTTTGAGACTGATAAAGATCAAAAGCTTTCCTTACTCTGGGAAAGAGGGAGATGACTGAAAAATTCATTTGCCTGGAGTCAGATAGCAGTTCTTGATCACTCAATACCTAAAATAAGACTGGGTCTTATATTAATTTTTGCTCCAAAAGACGCATTAGGGCTTATTTTCCAGTAAGGTCTTATTTTGGGGGAAATACGACACTAAACATGTTCGTCTGGCTCAGGGATAGGCAACTTTGGCTCTTTTATGACTCGTGGACATCAACTCCCAGAATTCCTGAGCCAGCTATGCTGGCTCAGGAATTCTGGGAATTGACGTCCACAAGTCATAAAAGAGCCAAAGTTGCCTACCCCTGGTCTGGCTGATGATCTTAACTGCTTATTTTTGGGGTGAGGCTTATATTATGAGCGTCCTGAAATAATCACGCTAGGGCTTATTTTCCAGTTGGGTCTTATTTTGGGAGAAACATGGTATTGAGTGATCACACTCGGTATGCATATTTTCTTGTTTTCATTGCTATACTTCTGATTTCTGAATGTGGATCATTTCTCCATGCTAGGAAAGAAAACCAAAATTCATGGTTTTCTTTGTTAAAAATGTTCTAAACATGGGAACGCAAACATTTAAATTCTTTTTGCTTTTCAAACAACAAATCTGTTCTGGAGTTAAGCAGGAATCCTCGAACAATGTTGGCCAAGAATGAGTGGTTGTAAGAATTGTCTCTCCTGAACATTTCGCTTCTTAAAAACTTGCAATGCTATTCTTTTAACTTCCAGAGTATTAAAATCATTTCCTAATCCTGTACGAAAATGAAATTAAAGATGAAAATGGAAGAATGTTAATTCTCACCTGCTTAAATTTCTCATTTCTTTTTCCGCCCATGTCCTGACCATCTTTCTTGGGTTTCCTTTACAGTATCCGTGACGAAACCTTGGAATGGCAAGAGGGAAATTGAATACCATATATTCCGGCGTATAAGGCGACCCGGCGTATAAGACGACCCCCAACTTCGGCGACGAGTCACATGCCTAGAAACTCGTCTTATACACTGGAAACTACCGTTATTTCCGGCGTATAAGACAACTCAGCATACAAGACAACCCCCAACTTCGGCACTGATTTTAACGTTTGCGAAAGTCATCTTAATGCCGGAAAGTATGGTATTTCTTTTTGTAAAAAAATAAAAGAAAAAGAAAAGTGAAATCCGGAAGCAAGTACGCAATACAAACTCACCTGAATTCTCCACTCACATATTTATCCCGATCTTTAAACATCAAAATGGAAGTTTTGTAAATCTTTATTGCTCTATTTTCACCTTTGGCGGTACTGGCGTGATACACATTAGCCTGGAAAAATGCAAAGAAATACAACAAAAATGTATCAATACATAGATTAATATATATTATTTGAGAAGTCAAACAACAGCTTTAAAATTATTTTGTTTTAATTAATTACTACATGGCACAGAGATTAATATAATACAGAGTTATTTTGGATCAGTGGCTGTGTTCATAGTGTGGTAGATCTGAGTTTAATGAACCTAGCCACTATAGTTTATTAAACATGAATTATTATTAGGTTTGGTATTAATTTTGAGATCTACTGTGTATCATAAAGAGTTCAAGTCAAAGGTACTCTGGTGCAAAAACAGCAGGACTGTCAAAGGCCAAATACATGACCCATCAATCAATAATTATCCAGGCTAAATCTATAGATCACAGAGGTACAAAGCACACTCTGCTAATATTTTAAATTCCTAAACTCCTTTACAAACAGTTGAACCACTAACGAAATGAAAAGAAGTTGACCACACTTGCATCATTTTGCATATATATGTATATGTATATGTATATATTTGTTTTCTGAGGTTTTCGCGGGTGTTTGTATGTAGGTCTTTGGTTATTCGGGTTTTCTCCCGCGTAAAATTAGAAGTGTCTTGGCGACGTTTCAATGAAGTCCCATTTGTCATCTTCAGGCTGGTGTTTTCAGCTTCGTGCTTCGAGGAGCAATGTCGAAGCACGCTCCTCGAAGCACGAAGCTGAAAACACCAGCCTGAAGATGACGAATGGGACTTCGTCGAAATGTCGGCAAGACACTTCCAATTTTACGCGGGAGAAAACCCGAATAACCAAAGACCTACATATATACTTCTTTATCACGCATGGTCTATATGTGGAGGGAACAATGGCTCTCTGTATTTGTAAGCCTATTTCCACATGTACAAAAAGTTGTTTGGATTGTATCCTCGATTTGGTGCAGAACAGCTTGAATGAAAAGAGTACTTAATGACAGCTGCAAATTGTAATTCTGCAAATTACGTCATTGCATTCCACATCAGTCTTCTAAAGCAGGGGTATCAAATTGCAGACTGGTTTCATCATACCGAAGCCGTGCCCACCTCATTGCCGGCAATGCACAAAGAGTTGCGATACATTGCGACACATCACATGACATGGCGAGTTTGACACCTGTGTTCTAAAGCATTATTTCAATACCTATTTTTGAAAGGGATAGCCTGCCTAGATTGCCCTCAAGTCTAATCTGACATCAAAAGCAGTATTTTTGATTTTAAAAGGCCTAGAATGCACAATCCGATTACATTAAGTTCTGAGTTATGAGGACTCAAACCAGGACTCAGCTCGTGAAACTATAATTAAGTGTTAAGAAAAAGAATTATAGCGAAACGTGCTTGCTGCCTGCTCCTCTACAGTCACTACTACCGGTAACAGAAGTTTAGAAGAAGTTCAGAATTAATCACAAGAAAAGTATGGAGGTGGAAACTTTGCTCTACATGTCAGCCTTGTAAAGTAAAGCAGACAGGAAACATGGTCAGATGAGCTAATTATACTTTATTATACTACTTTATTATATTTCTTTATTATAACATTGTACATTATAATATTAACATAATATTATAACTCCCCCCGCCCCGCCCCATCCCCTTTACACCCTAAGAAACTAGGGAAGATCTCTTCTGAGCCTTTTGACTCAACCACAGTTCTGCTCTAGGATAAGTTGCCTTTTACCTGACTGTTCCCTTGGCTGTGTCTCTTTGCCCTATCACCCAAGGACATTCCTACGTGCCATTACACCTGACAACTGAAACTAAAACTCAGTGCATTCAAGTCCAAGCCTTACTGCATCTTAGCTTTTCAAAGCTAAACCTTAGGTATCTACAAATCCTTGCCAGTCCCGATGCAGAAGAACGGAGCCTCTTTGTTCCGAAATGACTTTTCAGAGGAATTATAGAAAGTTTATAATACAAATCACAGACTTTTTAAAATGCATTGTAAGATTACTTTTAGCAAGTTATAGGTTCAGCCAAACCTCTTTTCCAGTGCTGACACAACCATTGATCTCTGATATCACACCTCTACTAAGCATCTTGAATAGAATCATTCGTGTTCTCGGGTCCAGGACCTTAGAAAGACAAAACACCCATCAAATCCATTACTCACAAAGATGTAGATAAATAATTTTCAAGTTTAGAAGTCTAAGAAAGTCCTATTTGTTTATAGCCAGGATTTTTTTTCCCCTACAAAGTTTATACCAATTCTTTTTCCAACTTGTTTTCTTTTGCAAATTTTTAGTCTGGAAATGCTTTAAAGTTTAAATAACAATCCACTAAAATGTATGAGTGAAACCTTATACACTATGACCACATCGTGAGCCTTTATAGAATGGGGCAAACACTGCTGGATTCATGAAGCATGCTGAGAAATATCAACTTTATGAATGAATATGTGTTTCTATCCATTATTGTTTGATTAAGAGATTATAGATAAATTCAGGTGGTCCTCAATGACCACTCATTCAGCGACCATTCAAGCTTACAACGACACTGAAAGGGTAGTACTTATGAACTAGTTGTGGTTACTGCAGTGATCTTGCAGTAACATGATCACAATCTGCAACCTTCACAACAAGTGAAATCAATGGGGAAGCTGGCAGGAAGCTAATAATGGCAACCACATCATGTCTTTGCTTAACAACCTATGGTGATTTGCCTATCATATGACAATAGGAAGTGCCATAACTGCCATCATGAAGCAACACAGTCATATGATATTGTGCTTTAAGATCACATCGCTTAGTGACTATAATTCCAATCCCAAGTGAATGAAGGCCACTTGTACAAATACACATATAAATGTGTTGGCCTTAAGGACTACATTATTTCAACTGAAGCAATTCTTTAAAGAAGCCAATTAATCATGGTTTATATTACTGGAAGTCTACAAATCTCTGACCTTTAATAGAGCATTTGAAGTCTTACTGAATTTTTTTCTCTGAAGGTAGAGATAAATCATGAAACTGGAAAATAAAACATTCTTTCTGAGAAAGCTTCTATTATTGTTGTTGTTGTTGTTATTGTTATTATTATTATTCTACTCAAATAATAATAATTTGGACAGAATATAGTCCAAAAGCAATGATCAATGTGAACTGGAAGCAAACACCTCTCCACCTATATTTTGCCCTCCCAACATCAAACCAGTAGTGCAGTAAAATTTTCTAACCATTCTTAGATAGGATTTTGGAATCACCTGATAAAATGGAGAAACATCTAGATAAAGCATAACTATATAATGTAAAAGGGGGATTTCACACTGATATTGCAATATTATTCACTGCTAATAAAGAACATAGCTGGCTGAATAGTTTCCTTTTAAAGGATAAATACTTTGAATTCTGACAATACATTTTTTTACAACTGATAATTCATATCACTTACTTGTTCTACTGTTGCCCTGTCTGATTTATCTTTTACCCGGTACCTAGCAGAAACAAAACATCGTATGATCCGTTGTACCAGAACAAAATATAATTATCTCAACACTTAAGCAATATGTCAGCAATATGAAAATATTCCAGACAAAAAAACAGGGCAGAAAAACGAAACATTCTCCATCAATTAAGACCAGAGTTTTCATAATGCAACTCACACAGGCTTCAGTCAAACAATATTAGGGTGGTTTTCAGGAACATAAAATAGTATCACCATTAGATAAGAACATGCCAAAACAAAGTTGGAAATAACTTAATTTACCAAACCAATCTTAACCTCATTTTTTTAGGAATGCATGCCTAGTTCTAAATGATCAGGCAAAAGATTCTAAGTAGGCATCTGCAGGACTGCGATGTTAATTTTGCAGACCTCTTAGAATATAATATTATATCTCAAAATATAATATATTAATTGTACTACAAACCCATGCCCATCAAGTAACAGCTATATTCTCTACAACATTTATTTCTGCACATCCATATTACTTACATATCTGCTTCTCTTTGCCTAGACTTCTCTGTAACTTTATTTATAACAGAATCAGCAAAATGCAGCTTGTCTGGAAAACACACATACACACATCCCACTCTTTAAAAACAGTTTCAACACCCCTGTCAAAAAATAATGTGCATAATTTCATTGCGAACATACCTCTAGAAAACAAACAATACATTTACAATGCTTAAAGTAAGCACTGTTTTCAATTCATATATATGTCTGTCAACTGTTTTTTTTCCTTACATTTCGGAAGCCACCCAACTTCTCAACGTTTCTAGGAAATGTGCACTATTAAAAACCATAAAATATAAAAGAACATAGGAGAGAGACAGACAGATAGACAGACAGACAGAAGTCATCCTGATGAAACAGATCCTACCTTGACCCAAAGTTAAGGGAAAGTCAGTTCTTCAAGACGTATTTAACAGAGAGTTGAGGCTGCTTGAAATCTGGGGGGGAATTGTGGAAGGTTGAATTGTCCCAGTGAACTTGGGATTATGCAGTGGTAATAGGTTTTTTTGTGGGCCCAAATCAAAATTAATGTCATACAGACATCAAGAACCTTGATTGCTTAATAAATCATCTGTTTTCTAGCTGTAAACCTATAAAAGAAGCATTATGTAATGGAGGACTAGGTTTGTTGTGTATTCTGGAATTGTTTTTGTATTGGGTGGTGATACTAGGTCTATCAAGGAGGAGAAATCTGCCATCAAGAGCAGGCAGGATCTGAAAGAGGGATCTGCTTAGTGAATTGGCAGTGGAATATTTTTTGAGAACAGATCTAGATGACAGTGAGGACACCTTGGTAATGGTGGTGAAATCCAGGAAATCCAGGTATGGTTTGTTTTTCACCTACAACTTGCAAACCATGGTGTTTTCCTATCCCTTCTTCCTCTTTAGGGAAAGATATGGCTAACAGAAAAAAGAGAAGCTGACAAAAATGTAGATTGGCCTGCCCTGAAAGGCACTTATGCAGGATGACCATCACTATTTCATAATCTTATAATCCTGCTATAGTTGTTAGTAAAAATATGATTTGAAATGTGAAACAGGAGACTATAAGTCTATTTTTATTCCATCAAAGAAACAAACAAAAAACCCAGACTTTTTGTACATCTTCCTGAAGCATTTTAATAGATTTCTAGGACAGATTAACACATTAATCCATTGAATTTCATCTTTTAAAAATTATCACCTGATTCAGCCCTCTGGAATCCTAAATGGTCCACTTACCTAGATTGATTTTATTCTCAAACTTTCTTAATGCTTTATTTGTAGGTGTAGACATTTTGGCTGCATTGCTGCTGGGAATCTGTTTATTTGCCTAAAAAGAAAAAGATACGTAGCTAAAACTCCATTTAAAAATCATTCTAAAGACACAGATCACATTCACAGACTTTTAGTTTGAGAAACGATAAAAAAAAGGCAATTGCATGATTATATCCCCAGCACTATCACTATTATGTGCAAATTCCCCAGGCCTGCAAATCCGAGCTAGCATGTATAGTCAAATGCTGTTATAACTTTATCCATGTATAAGTTGGGGGGGGGGGTGAAATCTCACTAGACCAGGAGGGAATTGCAGAATCCTGTAGCCCATTCCAAATGCATCAGTCACGATTAAGGCCACAGGAGCAAAAGCATATATACCAGCTAGCTTAAGAAACACATTTTATCAAATACAGGAAGTATAGTTAAGACATGTAACTTGACTTTTAGAAGGCTAAAGAACATGGGAGTTTTGCACTGAACTTAGTGCTCAGCCACAGCATAACAGAATGTACCCAATGAAAAGGTACCCAAAGATTTTGACAGATGCATCTCCTTTCCCCTTTTTAGTGGCCAGAAAAAATAGATCAGAATTCCATTTTAATTAATTGGTAGCTTAGCAACGCATGCACCTCAAAGAACTGGGGTTTAAAATAAAATATAGGCACATAACACTAAACCACCAAAATTCCTAGACTGTTTAGCTGGCTAGAGTTTATTTTAAAATACAACTTGATTTGTGCATAACAAGCTGAAATAGCTAAAATGACACCGAATTCTGGTTTACTCTTCCTCTGGGCTGTGTGAATGGGAAAGAAAAGGAAGTGCTCAAGCCTCATATTTGTTGTGATTCCTCGCCAGCCAGTGGATCCGGCAGCTGAGTCTGAGGAATCAGATGAGGAGGAGGGGCCTGGAGTGACATTAGAGTCAGAAGAAGGCTCTGAGGAGTCCAAGACTTACAGTCGGACGAGGAGCCTGGCCCCTCTACTCGCACTCAGGCTGAGACACAGCTGTGCTGGGAGCCTGAGTTGGACAGTGATGAAGAACAGTTGGGACAAATCACAGATACATGAATGCGCAGGGAAGAGAAGCGAGTAGGACAGAGGAATGCAATGGGGCAGCTCCAAAGGCAAAGGAGAAGGCATTAGGAAGCCACGCCTTGGCTGAATTATAAAAAGGAAGGTGTGGGAGGTGCTGGTTGCCAAAGGCAACCGTTCGTGTTGAGGATCGAGTTTCTGTGGACTGTGTTTGTTTGCCTTGGACATTGACTCAGGTCTGTGAGAATAAAAGGGATTGGTTTTTTCTTGCGGTTCCTGCCTGTTTATTGGAAGAGGGATTTCTCCTTGTGAGCATAACAAGAACTCACGTAGGCTGGGACATAACAATATTTTACATGCCTGCTATTTATACAAATAGCACTAAGCTGTGGCTCACCATCACACATTAAAACACATTAAGACAATAATTAGCCTTTCATATTATTAGTTACAAAAACTCCTGAAACTATCAGCTAGTCTCTATAAGATGCTAGGACATTTTTTGTTATTCAAGACAAAATGGAATACTTAAGCATTCAGACTATTGATTTGTCCAATGCATTGTGACTACTTTCCTATAAAATAATTTTAAAGGTTCAGATTAAAATGCCCACAAGTGTAGCTTACAACCGAACACATTATCACAAAAAGACTAAATCCACAAATTGCGACAACCCAGGATTTATAGCCATGTTATGCTACAATTTATTACTAGGCCAAAACAAGCAATATCCACAGACATATAATTCAATCGTCTATATCAGGGGTAGTCAGCCTTGGCTCTTTTATGACTGGTAGACTTCAATTCCCAGAATTCCTGAGCCGGCATAGCTGGCTCAGGAATTCTGGGAGTTGAAGTCCACGAGTCATAAAAGAGCCAAGGTTGACTACCCCTGGTCTATATGAATCAGGGCAAAATCATTGAAAGATAACAGATTTTAAAAAATCCACTTATTACATACCTGTAGGTTTCTTCCTCCAGCCATTGGATTCCCTTTTGTCAGCTTTCCCATATCATCATCCCAATCCCATCCATCTTCCTCATCCTCAGAGCACTCATCGGATTCATCCACATCTGCTTCCTCATTCAGATGGGACTGTTGCATTTTAACAACTATCTTCTCCTCCTGAGATGCTTGAACAACCTGTGGGGGTTCACTATTTTTTAAAAGAAGAATATTTAATAAACTCTTAGTGGTTTCAAAACAGTGGAGACGGCATACAATGGACACACTGTTATGGTAAGCATAACTAATCACAAAATACCCATTTACCAGAAGACGCTAACTCTCCTGGGATACTTTTTACAATCCCAAGAGGAACTTTATTAAACTCATAAATACTGATGCAAATACATAGAGTGATATTTGTATTTGCAGTATACTACTCTATTTTTTTACTTTGTTTTAACTAAAAACATATTTAAAAGGGCAGATAACTCGTGCTGCCTAGAGGATACCAAGGGATGGGTCTGAAGGTGCGATGATATATCAGCAGGCCAACAGTATAACAGAATTCTCCAGATTAGCTAGACACTAGCTCCCATTCCCCAACTTTTAACTGTGTTGGCTAGGGCTGATGGGAGTTGGGATCTGACAAATTCTAAGGTACATAATAATACAAATAGCATTTTTTCATTTAATTTAATATAGCCACCCATATTTTAGTGGCAACTTTTATAAATGCTAGTAGATATATCCAAGATTTTCAGGAACTAGAGATCAAGTTGTGCACTGTTGATCTATAAGAAACTGCTGCAGGTACTCATTTCAAGATTTGGAACAAGAGATCATTTGTATGTTATAATATCCATCCCTTTCTTTCTTTTTTTTTCATTCCACCTGAATCAGGTGTGTACATGGAGTGGACTAGCATTTGGATGATAGTCAATAACCTAAGATTGAATTCTGACAAGATGGAGGCACTGTTGATTGATACTCCAAGATCTAATGACATCCTCTTTACATAATTCCTTAGCTTTGGTGGTGTATCAGACATTAAAATTCAGTTCAGTTAACCATTTAACATATCCTCTTCATGTAGGTTTCTGGGTTGTTCTAATGGAAAGGGAGTTTTTTATTCTTTGTTTTCAAGTTCATTTCATTTATATCTTCCATTCGATGTATAGCTTTATAGCATTCCATTTATATAGTTCATTCCATGCATAGATCAAATCTGATTGGATGTATAAGAGGTGTGGATTTCAACTCCTGAAACCTGCAGGTTGGGAATCTAGGACTTGATGTCCACTTATCTTACAGGGACTAAGTTTGCGAAACACTGATTTAGGGGGTTTTATTTGTATACGCATTGTCTCTAGTTACAGAACATTCATTTAATAAAGAGCAGAGTAATAATTAATCTCCTCACATAAAGGACGAAAGAGGCAAACAGCATGAACACCAAGATGACAAGTGCAAACATTTTTTATTATTAAATCTTTAATGTTTCAATCATAGTATTTTTTATCTAAAACCACTGTAATAATGCTTTGCAAATATGGCAAATCAAGTAATTATTTTCTTAGATGTGCACAAAACAACTGGGACCAGTCTCTGATAATAAAGGACCAGAATAATGAATAGAAAATGAGCGCAAAGCTCAATTGCCTTGTATAACCTGAAAAGCATTTAAACTGCTCATTTCTGCATTACCCTTCCAACTCTATTATTATCATTATCATTATTATTATTAATACCTGTCTGAAGTATCAGCATCATCAAATTGTCCTGGGACTATCAAACTCATAATTTCTTCTCTGTAATTCATTGCTGTTGTTACAGGATCTCGGACGCCTTCCTGTGCTGTACTCCCAGTCTTCTATAAAATGTTTTTATGTATAGATGCTATAAAGAGACAGCATATTGTACATTATAATGGGTATATGGTATACTTCATTACATAGGCACTTCAAGTGATGCCTTACATAGCACACCCTAATTCTGCATGTTCTGAGTTATGTGTAACTATAACACACTATCCATGGATAACCTGTAGAATGTAACTCGCTATATAAGCTCTCTGTTATGCACGAAGATTGATATGTATGCATTTTAATTTGTACTAAAGAGGATAATATATAAGCAAAATCCAGGCATTTTTGCAGGCTCATAAAATCATTTACCGTGGCTGCGTTTAAACTTTGTCTGATATAGTTTCACTTTTCAAGGGAAAAAAATCCCAACATGAAATTCCCTTCTCTCTTGCTGCTAACTTTTTTGGTCAGGAACCTCTGATTCTGGAAGCCACTCCCAAAGAAAGCACAGCAGAGATTGGTGGGCAGGATATGACAATTAAGGATCTCAAGACTTCCAGTTTTTCGATGTCCATTGTATTTGGATGAGATAATAGTAGTAATAATAATCTGCTGTCAAGCAAGAGGCATAAAGATGATCTATTTTTCCCCTTTACATTTCACCAACCTTATTCTAGCATTGGAAATATTTATTATTATGATCTTTTTTTCAGGAAGAATAAGTGTTTCAGTCTCAATGCTGGAATATACTGAAATCATACTATTTTTAAGTAAACTAGAAGGAAAAGCACAAAAACTACCTTTTCAAAAAAACATTTTCTTTTTCTTTGGCCTACATATATTCTATTTCCTTTCCAAATCTATTCATACTTCATTCCTAGTTCAAGCTGATCAGCTTGCACTGATTTCAACGAAGTCCAGTTTCTGCCTCTGCTCCCAATACTCAGCGTGGGTCTTCAGAGAACTGGCATTATGTCCCAAAGGCACTCTTGTCATTCCTTGTCATTCCTAATTCAAGCCAATGCTTAATATTTCCCAGCAGTATACAATGGAGACTTGTATCATAAAATCTATATGCCATTCATACTGTTGTTTGTACCTAAATTCCAATAAAATGCAGTTCACAGCATATGTGTGGAACAGTGTTAACCCACATACAATGTTTGGTGATTGAGGTTATCTGCACTAGTGGTTTACGGGCCATTGCTGCTATGACATACAATTTAGCCAGACTTCTTAGCATCGTAACAAAGACTGGACGGTCCTATCTCTCACTGGTGTGGATAGCTTCAGCATCTATCGTGCTTGGAAGGAAACCTATCAAGGAATCTCAGGGCTGAGGCTAAATTGGGAAGCAGAAAAAAAAAACATTCTGGAAGATCACTTCCGCCAATAAGACTGTCACCAAGAGACAAGTTTGATCAACACAGTATTATGTGTATTCCTCTTTTCAAGACGGGGGGCGGGGGGAACAGCTTTCCAAGGAAGTTCAAATAAGAAATTCAGCTACAGAGTAGCATTCATTTCGAATTAATGGAAAACCCTAACAGAGACTCAAAATATTTTAAATAATTTACAAAGTGCCAAAGGCAGTGCAGCCTTACTCTGAAAGCAGACTCGCTGCTGGACTTTCTGCGCTTCTCACACTGGAGGCAAGGCGGCAACTTGCCAAACATTTTTATCCAGGCACTAAAGCGCATTTTACTCACCAGTCTCTGGACCGGCTAGCCAGGAGACATTCCGACCCACGAGGTCGGAACCCAGACGCCTTTGGGGCTCGAAGCGTCACAAGCTGCGAACTACGGCTCCTCCAGAGGCTCATGCGCGGTCGTTTGAGAACGCGTTTCCCGAATCCCTTGTTGGGACATACCCGATGCTTTCGTTGAATTTGCGGGTGACAAATTCACTGTTTTGGGCGAAAGCTTGGAAAGACGCTTCTTTCTGAATGCTTAAAACTCGGGAGCTTCCCCCCGGATTTGGACTGCAAATACCCGAAGGAGCGCAAAATGGACTAAACTAAAGAGTTATTTCTTCCCATCTCGTGGTCATCTGGGGCTTTGCAGTTCGACGTAATTCAGATCAACAGTGTGAGTGGTAAATTATTATTATAGTGACACTTCAATAAAATAAAAAAACGGAAAACTATTTTAATGAAACTTCGAGTGCTTTATTTTTATTTTTGTATACTCAAACGGAACGTACGTTGAAGTAGACATAGAATTACATTGCTTTGGGTATGTGCAGTTTGAAATAAATATATGTGTGATAAAATATATAAATATATATATATAAATATATCAGTATAGTATAGTGTAATATAGTAACTATACACTAGAAAATATAGTGTGGATACAGTACACAATATAATATACAGTGTGATGATAATTAAATATATTTATTTCACAAAAACTATTCCACCACACCTTTCCTTGCTTTCTTTTTTCTTGTTGACAACAGATTGGCTGTCATGGCAAATGTCATCTGCGACGTTAGCATCGTTACTGATGTTGAACTGAGCCACAATTTACTCAACCCTATTTGAGGGTTTGCACAACACCCTGAATCATAATTGACAACAATGATGGACTAGATTCACAAGACAAACATGCACTTGGCTGTATTGTAGTTCAGGGAGCCAAAGCTGAACACATTTTGACATTTCTGTTTTAGGCAAGGGAGCCGTCAACTGTTGCTTAGCCAAATAATTGGCCAGACTCACTCTTGGAAAAACAACTGCAGATGTCTCTGAGAATTTACAATTTGGAAAGTTTTCTCAATATATTTTAAGAATTCCAAGCATCCCTCCTTCTAGAAAACCTTCATTTCTCCCCCCCCTCCAAATTATTTGGGAGCCCCAGTAGAGCTGACTATATAGCATTGTATAGTATGTGTTATGTCCTGAGCCTTGCAAGCAGGCTCGGGGCGTTTGCAGGCGGTCCCGGGCAGGTGCAAGCTGCCCGGGACCAGACAGGCTGTCGCCAGCGCTTGTGCGCATGCGCGGGTGCTGGCGCGCGAAAAGTAACACATTGACCCGGGAAAGGCCTATATAAGAGGCCGAGAGTTTTGGGCGTTGCCGGAGTATTCGATCTGTAAGCTGAATGAAGAATAAAGCAAATCTGAGAACTACAACTGCTTCTCGTGTCTTGCCATTTCGCGAGGGACGCAACACTGGCGACGAAGGTGGGATGCCTTACATCGACAGAAAAGGAAGAGGTGTAAGCTTACCCAAGTGAGTCCTGAGCGGCGGAACGGCGTTGACTCGGCAGCTACCTGCCAATCCAGTGCGCATTTGGGGGTAGGCTGTCTGATAGACCCGTCTCCTAAAATGGCAAAAATTGGAAGGCTTTCGGAGTTCGACGTCTCACATCCAGAGAGGTGGGAGTCTTATGTAGCCAGGGTGGAGAACTACCTCAAGGTGAACCAAGTGAGGGAAGATAGCTTGAAGGCTGCCACCCTGCTGTGTGTTTGCGGTCAAGACACCTTTGAAATCGCGGAGAACCTTGCAGCACCTGTTCCATTAGAGTCTGTCAGCTACGCAGATCTAAAGAAGCTACTGAAGGAGCACTTCCAGCCTAAGATGTCCTTCATCGCATGGCGCCACACCTTCGAGCAGAGGGATCAACGATCCGGAGAATCGGCCAAAGAATACATCGCCGCATTAAGAAAGGCCGCCAAGCACTGCGAGTTCAAGGACCTCGAAGAACGACTGAGGGACCGATTCGTGTGCGGGCTAAGGCATCGAGAGCTACAACAGAGGCTTTTCGCCAAAGAGGACTTGTCCTTCCAAGATGCCTTGAGAGAGGTCACCGCAGAAGAAGCAGCAGGCGGCGCCATCAAGAACATGCGGCCGATCAGGACCAGTCCAGATGTTGCATCCGTGCACCAAGAAGAAGTCCAAGGGAACTCCGAGGAGGATCCGGACGAGGAAGTCGACCGTCTCCACCCCACAAAGGAAGGGAAACAGAAAGGAAGCTCTTCAGCTCTCCCCAAGTGCATCGGCTGTGGAGGTCGCCACAGAAGAACCGACTGCAAGTTCCGCTCCGCTATCTGCAGGGCGTGCGGAAAACAAGGACACATTGCAGCTGTGTGCTTGGGCCGACAAAAGGTACAACCTCAGGAAGAATTGCGCCTGAAAGGTACCAGGGTTCCCAGCCAGAATAGGATGGGGTTTTGCGCTTCGCAAAGAAGCATCTTTAGGACAGGCACACACAAGCCCATTAAGAAAAAGCTGTCACTTAAGGTGAAGCTACAAGGGGTTCCAGTAACTATGGAACTAGACACGGGGTCTGCACTTTCAATCATCTCCTTACATACATTTAGGAAGATTTGTTCCGGCAGTGGAACTCAGGCCAAGTTAAGGCCTTCTGACATTGTGCTAACAGACTTTCAGAATTCGAGAGTGTGTGTTAAGGGGGAGGCCACCCTTAACGTACAGTATAAGAATTTTGAAGGTCCACTAGACCTATTAGTAGTAGGGGGTGAACGAACGAGTCTCATAGGACTCGATTGTTTTGAAGCCTTGGGGATACACGTCACGGGGCTCAACAGCTTACAAACACTCGACCTACAGGAAGTCTGCAAAGAATTTGCAGATGTCTTCAGCCCCCAGCTGGGAACATTCAAGGGACCCCCTGTGTCCTTAAAACTAGACCCCACTGTCACTCCCATTAGAATTAAAGCAAGAAGGGTCCCTTTTGCTTTAAAGAGTAAAATTGACACTGAGTTAGACAAACTGATCCAACAGGGAATTCTAGAATCTGTTGATTCCAGTCCTTGGGAGACCCCCATTGTCACGCCTCTAAAGGCAAATGGGGACATTCGCATTTGTGCTGATTACAAATGCACTCTTAATAAGGCATTGCAGCAACATGCCTATCCTGTTCCTGTGGTCAGTCATATCCTGGCCTCCCTCAAGGGGGGGCGTGTTTTTGCGAAGCTTGACCTAGCTCAAGCGTATCAACAGCTGCCTGTTGATGATGATGCTGCTATAGCTCAGACTATTGTGACCCACAGAGGGGCCTTTAAGGTAAAAAGGCTACAATTTGGAGTAAATGTCGCTCCTGGGATTTTCCAAAGCGTTATGGAAAACAAACTACAGGGTATACCAGGGGTGTGCCCCTACTTTGATGATGTCTTAATTGCAGGAGACTCTACACACATTTTGGCTGAAAGGCTAAGGGCTGTTCTGTTAAGGTTCAGGAAAACAGGCCTCAAGCTTATGAAGGACAAATGCAAAATTGGGGTGCCTTCAACTGAATTTTTGGGGTTCAAAATTGATGCTGCTGGGATTCACCCTGCTGAATCTAAACTAAAAGCCATTTTAGAAGCACCTAGGCCAAAATCTAAGGCCGAACCTCAGGCCTTTCTGGGCCTCCTGAACTTTTATAATTCTTTTCTTCCACATAAAGCTAGTGTAGCTGAGCCTCTTCACAGGCTATTGGATAAACAAGCAGTGTGGCAGTGGTCACAAACTCATGAGGCTAGTTTCAATGAAGTCAAGGCCTTGCTCACTTCTAACAGTGTACTTGCACACTTCAATGAGTCCCTTCCTGTGTGCATCACTTGTGATGCTTCCCCTACGGGGTAGGAGCTGTCCTGAGCCACCTCAGGTCTGATGGAACTCAGGTTCCTGTTGCATATTACTCCAGAACATTGTCTTCTGCTGAGCGTAACTACGCTCAGATAGACAGGGAGGCCTTAGCTGTTGTTGCTGGAATTAAAAAATTCCATGATTTTTTATATGGAAGGCATTTCACGGTCTTCACTGACCATAAGCCTCTGCTGGGACTGTTTACCACACGTAAGCAACCCCCCCAAATCATCTCCCCCAGAATGCTCAGGTGGTCTATTTTTTTGTCTGCATATGATTTCTCCCTGCTTCACAAGCCTGGGAAGGAAATGGGCCATGCTAATGGCCTCAGTAGATTGCCCCTGCCGGTAATAGAAGCTGACCCTGCGCCAGCTATCAACATTCTATCCATCCAAGCCTTGCCAGAGTCCCCTCTGAACGCCAGGGATGTAGCCGCTGAATCGGGCACAGATCACACACTTTCACGTGTCCTTTCTTGGGTTTTGTCTGGATGGCCCGAGCACTGCCCTAGTCCTGAGTTTCAGAGTTTCTGGTCTAAAAGGAACGAGTTGTCCACCTCTCAGGGTTGTCTGCTTTGGGGAAGCAGAGTTGTCATTCCCACCTCAATGAGGACTAGGATCTTAGGGTCCCTCCACGAGGGTCATCCTGGCATTGTTCGAATGAAGGCCCTTGCGCGCAGCCACTTGTGGTGGCCTGGCCTGGACAAGGACATTGAGGCTAAGGTGCATGCATGCCACCTTTGCCAACGCTCTCGCCCAGAAATGCCCCAAGCTCCTGTGCATAGATGGGAGGAAACACAGTCCCCATGGTCTAGGGTGCACATTGACTACTCTGGGCCCTTTCAGGGTCAATTCTTCTTGGTCCTTGTTGATAGCCATTCAAAATGGCTTGAGGTTGTACCTGTCTCATCCACCACCACTGCAAAGACTATTCAGGTACTGAGGGGGATTTTTGCTGCACACGGGCTCCCTGACGACATTGTGTCTGACAACGGCCCTCAATTTACTTCCTCTGAATTCCAAGCTTTCTTGCAGGCTAACATGATTCGTCATGCCACCTCTGCACCCTTCCACCCGTCCATCAACGGTATGGCTGAACACATGGTCCGCATCACCAAGGACGCCTTAAAGAAACTCACCTACGGGGACTGGCATCACAGGTTGGCTGACTTCCTCCTTTCTTATCGCACCACACCATCCACTTCTACAGGAAGAAGCCCAGCTGAACTTCGCTGGGGGCGCAAACTGACCACCAAGCTTGACCGGTTGCATCCGGACAGATTGCCTTCATCTACCTCACACCCCAGGGCACCTAGACACCTACTTGTGGGTGCCCCAGTTTGGACTCGTAATTACGGGCCTGGTCATACATGGGTCCCCACTTCTATATCCAGGGTCA